TCCAAATCTGAATGTACTTGTTCTGAAAATAACAGAAGCTCCTTTGCTTTCCATGAATTCATACCATGGGCTATTACTCACCGAGAATAAACCTGTTGTGTCACCCTCTGTAACAGCCATCTGGGACAGATGTTTTAAATGGAAACTGCCATGAGATTTAGGGTCCACAATCAACTTATCTTACAGCTTGATCATTTACCCCTTGAATGTCCCAATAAGAAGTTATGGAGTCTCACCTGACTGAAGGAAGCAGTACACATAACGTACATTGGCTTCCTTCCATGATATATGAACAGTCCAGAAAGCAGATCAATGCTATGCCCGTACTGTCCTATCCCACCCCACCCAATCCCTGCTGCTTGGAGAGCTAAAGCTCACCTGATTTTTTTTAAGGGTGTGGAATTGACCATGCATTATGTATGCAAGGTCAGACAGACTATTTGTTTGCTCCTCTTTACTTGCTACCAAGGACCTTAGTTTCTTAAGCCAAATAAATTCCCTTTAAAAATCAACAAGTATAGATCAACTATAAGATCAACAAGTATAAACATTTTTCATAAAATTCTGAAACAAAATTATTAGCTATTCACATCCAAGTTCTGTGAATTTTTTTGCATGTCCATCTGGCAGACAGCTGCATTATTTATCTGCTGTCACACTCAGTAAATTGATCTGCTGGCATTTAAAGGTGTCATCTTTACTCATTACAATTTCAATGATCACTCCGGCACTGCCAGTATTGTACCAATGACCTGAGTTCTGACTACAACTTTTAATCTCTGCAAATCACAAAACCTGCAAGATTGAATTCCACATATAAAGCAATACACAAAGAGACAGGAGAAACCAAAGGACTAGGCTGCTTTGCTTCAAAGTTCATTGATCTCTATATGGGAACAATTTGATGAGAAAATTAATTTTATGATTCTAAAGTGCAACATACATTTTTTTCAAGCTCAAGGTAAAACATCAGAACTGGTGACACTGCAATGCAGAATTAAGGTAAATAGGCTTCACAGACAAGAATGGGATTATATTATGCTCACAATGATGAGACACTACCCAGTTGGTTGCACATCACAACCACTGTCCTTTCAGTTGCAAGAGGAATGTGACCACATCCTCAGAGATAGACCACACTGCCCTGTAAAGTTTGGGGCAGATGTTGCTTACCCTCAGCCACATATTCTGCATGCTCTCCCTAGCACGCTTTCAAACTATTTTGGCCGCAGTGCCAAAGACCAGAACTCCATTTCTGCCCTGAGATATTTCAGGCTGGCAAATAACAGCAGCCCCCCAGCCCCACACCAGTTGACTAGGGGTTTAAAAATGAGCAGAACAAATACAGTTTGGAAAATGTACCAAAACACGAGACATTCAAGATGCTCTAGTGATACATGCAAGCAGTTTTAAAGAAAAGACACAATGAACATCCAAGCTCCCTCGCAATGCACAGGCTGTTGCACGCTGCCACACTGTAACTGTCCCCCATTTGCACGCTCTACCATGACCTTTGCAGGCAAACGGCACCATAACCATCACCACTGACTGAGGGTCTTCTGCTGAGGAAATGACCACCAGCATATTTCTCATGCAACACTCTGCAAGCCAAGGAGTGCACAAAAACACATGACAGCATCTTGGGAAAGAAAGGACATACATGTTGAGGTCAAGAGCCAGCATGAGCATGCACATGTACTTCAACTGGAAACTGAAGACCAGCTGAAATAATATCACCTCCCATTCACTGACATCCCTGGGCAGCACAGGAACTAAACACAGCGGTGACCTGCAACTCCCAGCCACACACACACAGATAGATAGATAACCCCAGCAAAAGTTGGAATTTTGATCATGCCTCACAGAGAAAAACCTAATTAAAACTATTACACTTGGAAAACTTCCAGCTCTATGAATCTGACAAAGACATTTATGATGATAAAAGAATAATAATGGCCAATAAAACCTCTGTACATAAAAGCACTAAAAGAGTTTTACAGTCAGAAATCCAAGGGAAGAACATTTTAAACACATTAATGTGCAACTTCTATAGAAAAGGAGTAGCATAACTTTTCCATTTCATAAACTGAAGTTTAACTTCACAGCTATCTGTATCCTATCACACTTTTCCTGTCAGACTAAACATGTCTTGTTTTATTACAGGTCAGAGCAACTAATCTCGCGGGACATTTTTGATGAAAATGAACTCTAGGCTTCAATAAAACAGCCCAATGTCCTTTCTGTGATAGCTAATTTTTGACACTTCAATCCACTTTGCATTTCTATCCTTTGAAAGATTCCTGACATCAGAAGGAATTCGTAACACCATCCACCAACAGGGGTGCATTACAGTAAGACATATTGACATGCTTGCTCTTTTTATTGATCCATGCAGCAGGTTGTTATTTGAGGTAACATTAACAGAAATGTCACATTAAAGAAAAAAAATTATTTCACAGTTTTTGGAAAAAACATTTGTCCGAGTGCTGCCATCTGCACCAATATTTGAAAACCAAGCTATTTAAATATGCATAATTTACTTAATCTTATCAAGATATTTGAAAATTAGAGGCTTTTTATTACATTTTCCAAAGCATCATCACTTTGCATATCGAGTATTGTATCCATCTGGAAAACTGACACTTGAAACAGCCGTGCCTTTTCAAGTCCATACCACCTTGTTATATCAGGCTCTTCATACATACTGAACATATGACTTCTGGAAGCTGCTTTTGGGAAATAAGGGTAAGAGGAGACAAAACCTACAAAGACTGCTCAAATGATGACAATAAGAATTTTAAGTCTCTCAAAAATATGTATACTGAAGTTTTGTGGTGATTTCCTGCAATTTTTCCTGTTTATTTTAGAATCAGGCACAAGAGAACAGCTTAGAGGAACCTCTTTTCTTGAATAGGTTTGAGAGTTTAAGAGGTTAAGAATTTCACAGCTGATTATGCTGACAAACAATTCCAATTTTGGACTAGCCTAAGTATTAAGTGACAAAAGATAAGAACTTCCAACACACATGCACTGGAGCTGGAGCCTGTTTGGGATTGCACCTCGTAGAGCCCAGAAACTGGAAATGGAGACTATGTCCACTCATGGTTGATTTGAGGAAAACGGTTTCTGCCACCCTGCCCCTGTCCCTCTCAGTGATCACCCTTATTCTGAACAGGTGTCCCATTTCATGTATTTGCTGTTTAAGCCTGGGAAAGGTGGAATGAAGACTCCACATATTTTAACTAAGCAACCTAGCTGCCCAGTTAAAATTGGCAGCTAAAACCTTCTTGGCTATAAGACTTTACCTAACCACAATGTTTAAAATACAAAAAGATTGTTTCCATTTTATCCTGAGCCTCCACTGAACAGCACACCTGAAGCAGACATCCAGGAAAGGGAGCAGCATGCAAGAAAGAGAACTCCTGGAATGATTCATTAACAGCACAATCAAAACCAAATAGGCTTTATTAGACTATCATTATGCTTTACTGTAACAGATCAGTGACATATTCAGGGGAAGACTTTGGAAAAAGGTAGTTGCAAAGTCCTTCTAAACAGCCTGGAAGTTTCTAGGACCAGCCCACAAGACCTTTCTGGACATTTGCTAAGCTCTGGAAGACTATAAAGTACAGGCTTCAGAGGACTGGGTTGCTGTATATTCTGAGCTGCTGAGCAAACCGTAGGAGGGGGACTGTGAAGCAGAAGTGAAAAAGAAATCTCAGGCTGACTTAGCCATTTGCTCTAGAAAAACAATAATTTTCCAGGAAAATGTTCTAAACAGCTGAACCTTATCAAGCAGGCTGGATGTGAACTGTTCATCCAAGGAACACTGCAGTAATGAAAGATTAATGTGCACATTACTTTAGGGGGTTTGAACATAAGACTATCTCTCATCTTCAAATCTACTTTTCTGAATTTCTTTGTGTGCGGTATTTACAATGTCCACTTCTGTTCTTAAGGTAGCAGCAGAAAGAATATCTTCTTTGAGTAAACAGATTTGGACAGACTGCAGAAATTTGCCAAATATTGGTTTTGTTAGGGCTGAGCTTAAAATTTCAATCTTGTTTCAGTTTCACATAGAATGAAGTTTTACAAACTGATTTGTAAAACAAATGTATTATATTGTATTAAAGCAAGTGAACTGTACTACTTCAAATAAACTGAAACATCTATGATAATTGAGTATTTTGAGAGCAGCAGAAATATACACTTAAGGGTAAAACAGTACACTAGGAAAAATGTTGTTGTCCTAGCAGGTTCTGTCTGAACACGTACGGAAACAATTTTTTTACAGTGAGGATGACTGAGCATAGAGCAAGTTGCTCAGAGAAGCTGTGCAGTCTCCATCCTTGGAGGTACTCAAAAGCCATATGGACATGGTCATGGGCAGCCTGCTCTAGGTGCATGAGAAGGACAGTTGGACCAGGTGACCTCCAGAGGTGCCTTCCCAACCTCAACCATTCTGTGCTTCCAAAATATGTCTCAAAATAATTACTACCATCCAAAAAGGTAGTCAACTTGTGTAATTTCTGGAACTAAGAAATGCTAGCATCAGATGTGCTTTGGGTCTCCTTGGAGAGATGAGTCAGATTCTCCATGTTCTCATTGAGAACCCACTCAGGCAAGGTCACAGGCAGACACTCTGCCTGGCTTGGCCAGATGTGGTTACTGCTAGTATACAACAGCAGTCAGCCAACTGATCTATAATGTCTTATTATACAAGCCTTTTCTTCAGTGATACTTTCAGTCAGGTCTCTCCCCACTCCCTGTCTACCAGTTTTTACAAAACTTAGCCTAATACCTTTGTGTCTATGTTCTTAGCAAACTGAAAGAAACCATTTGGTAGATACAAGTTACAAGTGACAAAAGTGACAACTCAATATATAAGCCCGTATTTCTTTTGGAGATCAAGTTAAAAACATGTTACAAGGAGTGCAGTCTTCTACTGAACAATGTGTAAAGCATACTAAGCATCCAAGAATTGCAAGGAGAACCATTACCTGCTTGTAGTTCTCTGGTTGTCTCACAAGATCTGTTTCTGTGACAGAAAAATGTCCAAGGATCTGGTCCAAATGAGAGCCACTAGTGAATAAATGGATCTGGAACAGATTAAATTAAAAGTTATTTGTCAGTACAAGGACCAGATCATTAACAACATCATTAGCTACCATCTAACAGCTGCATGGATTGGAATAGTGATGTGAACCAGTGGTTATAAGCCCACTCCCAATGGAGAAGTGCAAATGTTAATGACTACCACCAATACAATAGACCTTTAAGTAGCCTGCATGAAATGATGATCATGCACCACAATCATCTCAAAGTGGTCCATCTGGTATTGTTACCAGAATCACATGCAGGAATTGCTCCTGCTGCCACCACAGTAAAACTGAAAGATTTCTCTCTTCATCCTGTCTTAAAAGTCTTTTTCCTTACACTACACACGCTCTTGTGCATAGCATGAAAGGAAAAAACATTTACACAGATAGCAGAAGTCTTAACAGAGGTAAAGGATACCCTCAGCATAATTTTTGATATCTACCTTTGAAGCAGAAAATGCTACCTATTTACAGCAAGTTTTTCTTTTTCTGCAATATATTGTTGGCATTCACTTACTGGGACCTTGTCCCAGTTGCACTGGTGATGGTATCATCAATTACTTGATGAAGAAGCTTCCCAAGTTAGTCAAGGGAACAATAAAAAGCAATTCCTCCTATTCAGAGCTGATCCCTTTGTTACTGTAATAACTGCAGCTGCCAAAAAAGATAGCGGTGCACACTTGTCAGACAATCGCTCATATTTCATTAATATTTCTGCCAGAAGACAGAGAATGTTTCCTGCTTTTCTTCCTTTATTCTGATATAAACTTTATCATACACTTGGGTATTGACAACTATTTTAAAGTTGACAGGCACTGGGTAATTATCAACCCTTCCCTGAAACTTCAGAATATTTTAGCGTTTCTTTCCCAAAACTCACTTCTGGTGACAACCATCTGTCACATGTGCAGAGCTATGTGAGTTTAAAAATAAAAGAGCGCCTCCCCACACAATGTTCTTCCTTTCTGCTTGCCACTCCTCTCCCTGCTGCATTCTTGCATAACTCTGGTTGCCAAACCTTTGGGCCTCCAGCACCAGGGACAAATTTCAGCCTCTCTTCAAAAGTATGTTGCAGCACCATCACTGGCTAAAGCCCAAAACCAATACTCTAAAGCTGTAACAACAGCAGAGTAAGGTGTTCCCCTGAGACCGGACTAGATAGATACTGGAATAATCCAGTATTTGCAACTGAAATAATCCAGTATTTGTGTTTTTACAATCTGTTATTGACAACCACAATATATGAAAGAAACAAGGCTTAAAGAGGGAAACAGTACCAAGCAGCAGGTGAGAGGATGAGAGACAGAGCATGTGTAGCTGCTGTGTGGCACTAGAATGGACTTGAGGAAGCAGGTCTGATTTAACCTTACACTAACCTTTGCACAAGAGTACAGGCACAGCTCCCCACTGAGCACCACTTCTGGGGAGTTTCCAGTACCAATTCCTAAACACCCTTGAGCTTAGACACCCTGCAGGGAGATGAGCTTGTCTAATTCACCTAAGAGAGGATGAAAAGAGGGACTGTTCATAGTTCACACAGACTTGCACGAGAGGAAAAACAACTATTGCATTAAAGAGTGTGCTATTGAGATCTAATGGCAAATTCACTTCAGGAAAAAACAAAGATTTTCAAACTAAGTATCTCAAAACAAAAAAAGATATAATTAACCAATGTAGTAACTTACAGAGCAACGTGGCAGACTCTTCATGCCAAGATACAGATGCATCTAACAACTGCAGTTCAGCTCATTCATAAATTACTGACAATGAGGTAACCACCCAGCACCAGTCTCTGCCCTCTGTTATTCAGGGATCAAGCCTTTGTCCTTGTTCCTTTCCTCTTCTACTGCAAGATCAGCTATATAGATATGACCAATCCAATCCACTCTAATACACCTTATTTTACATTGTTTATCTTAGAGGAGGCACAAGAAGCGCTGCTCTGCGTTCGTATTGACAGAATACAACTTCTGCTCCTATAGTTTCCAAGCATATTACAACATTATTGTCATTTTACCATGATCTGATACTGCCAATTATGTTAAACTCTTCTCCTCTCATCAAGGATTACATTTAACATACATTTTAGTCCTACTAACTTATATCCATAGTCCACCATCAGATGTTCACCTGCCTAACAAAATACACCTCTGAACCCAATCTAACCTTCACCTATTTCAGGTGTGCCTTCTGTCCCAGTCTTTAGTAGATGGAGGACAGCTGAAAATACCCACAGGAATCAACCAGTTTTGCAGAAACTCACTTGTTCTGCTATTTCTTTTCATGTGCTGATTGTGGCATTTAACAGACCCGAAGAACAATGCCAGTTTTAAACTATACAGGTTCCTACCTGTTTTTCTGAGCCTATACAAGGCTTCTCATTCATATTTCTTAAGGCAAAGTGGCAATTCAAAGCCTAACTAAGAACAGCTGGTCTCCCCTATGAATTCAACAGGGATCAAAAGCCAGGCAGATAGATATTCCTCCGACACATGACTGAAAGAGGAAGAAACAGAATAGAAGGAACCAAGAGGTGTGCCTTAATACAGTAATTTATCCTTCACGTTTCCATATATTTGAAGGTATATCAGGTAAATATGTACCACTGAGAATTTTGAGGGAATTATAATGGTATTACTGTATTATACTTTCAAAGCAGGCCAACCTGCCTATGTAGAGAAGCCATTATAATGTTATTCAACAGCTCATAGCCTCAGGCTGCAAAATTCCACAGCAGCAGAGAGGTTAGATTTCCCCAAGGAAGTCTTCCTCCTACAGCAGGACCTGTGTGTCTGTAAGCTTCAACAGGCCTTCTGGGAGCTGAAGTCACTGAAAAGCAGCTCATCAGAAGAACTAGCAAAGAGGAATAGCCAGTCAGACCACCTAACAAGCAATTCCCAACACATGACCAGCTGTAGCTCCAGGGAAGCTTCCCTCTTCAGTAACCTATACCGGTTACTCCAGAACCTCATACCATCAACCTTAAATGGCTGTGAACAGGACAGAGTAGATAGGCCCCCCAGCAATCAGTTTCAGTTATCATTTGTATATTTTGGAGAAAGAACAGCCATTTATTTTTGCCAATTTCCCTCCTACTGCTCCCTTTCCCTTTCTCAGGCAGTACAGCATGATTTCATTACAACATGAGTCATCACTTCTAACCTGAAAGTACACATCCCCAATCACCCATGTGATTCAGAATTTTTTCACAAAATCTCAGAAACAGAAAAAACCTTTGGAGGTCTTTAGTCCTACCTCCTGCTCTAACAAGGACTTTGCCAACATCAGTTTGTTGCTTTGTGTATATGAATCTTGGAAACCTCCAAGGATGGATACCATTCAGCATCTCTGGTGACCTGCTCCAATGCTGCCCATCATCCCAGAGAAGCTTTTTCCAGTATGCCTGAGCCCTCCAAGCTACAATCAGTGGCCCCTTCCCCTTTGTGTTCCGATACTGCTGAGAAGACCATGGATCCATCTTTGTAACTACCATCCTTGTAACTACCCATCAAATAGCTGAAGGCAGCTATTAGGTGATCTTTCCCTCAGCCTCCTCTCCATCCAGGCAAAGAAGCCCAACTTCCTCACCCTTTTCTTGGAAGTCATGCCCTACTTAGCTAGTCCTTGACTATCTTGGTAGTCTCTTGCTGGATCTTTGATGTACAATTCTTATTTCCAGTAGCAATATCCATACTTAAAAAAGTAGAGTGGAAAAGCAGCCATCTCCTGAATAAGAACGTATTTTCCAAGTGTGATGTGTTTTTCTCAGAAAGCCCCAAATAGAGAATATGGTATTTTAGAGCCTGTGTGAGTCACAGAATGAAATCTGTGGAAGTGTCGCCACTACTTGGCAAAAATTATAGCGCATGATCAGCAGTAAATAAGACTGTTCCACAGTTGAGATACATAACCTGCTAAGTTATTAAACAGAGCAAGTAAAAGCCATAATTATAATTTTGTAGAGAAAGCCCTCTGTAAATCTGTCAGCATAATTAAAAAACATAGCACTTACTAGCCTTTTGTATACTGTATTTGTGGTTTATATGAGAAAAGCAGCAGCTCATATAGAGGTCTTATTGGGTCAGCTCAGTCTTCTAACACATAGCAGACTAGTTTAAAAGTTTTAAAATTTATGCAGTAGCAAAGCCAAAATTCCTCTATAAAGAGTCAGGAAATATCAATTATTGTTTACTTACACAATTTAACAGCTGTGTATGTTATATTTTATGTTACTGTAGATGTTAACATTAATGTGGCACTGTAATGAAGTCCCTTCCAAAGTCACTTTTACTTTTCAATTTTCCTGCTTTTAATGCAGACGACAATATAAATCAGAGCACTGGACTTCGGGAGTTTTGTTCAGACCTGTAATACAGTTGCACACACGTATTTGATCACGCGTAATATCAGTGCGTGATCACATTGGAGGAGCTGGGCTCCAAGTTATCCTCCTATGTATACATCTGCAATGGCAGCCCTGTACATACACTGCAGAACATAGTCTGATCATAACCAGCACCGCTTACTGCTTTCAATTTAGTCCAGTGATGACTCTTGGAAAATGCAGTAATGGCAACTCTGTTTCTCTGCTCATCCAGTTTCTCATTCTCCCTTGTGCTTATTCTTCCAGATTCTGGAAATCATGGGCCAGGAAACTGTAGCATAACTAACCTGTATCTTATATTTGTCTGACTGTAACAGTCCTAACTTCAGCAAACATTTTTTTTTTCCTTGGATAGCCACAGGGGAAAAAAAAGTGCAAGTTTATTTCAAAGTACAATCCCCAAAGGAGGTCATCATCTCCCCTGTCACCAAGCTTAGCATGTTGCCCAGTCAGCACAGCTCTTCATCATTTCAATGCCTGATCTGAACCATTGAGAGTATTTCTGTTTGTACTCGAGGCCCAGGTTTGACCTGCTCTTAATTCTTCCTTGGTCTCATTAACTGCAAGCTGAGGTATTGAAGCTGCCTAATGATTTGTTACTGCCACGTACTACATAAATCAGAGCACTGATGATGAGTTATGGAGATATTTGCCTCACCTACTATAAAAATCAGCATACCTTAAATAGCTTATCAAGGGGACAAGATGCCAATCATTTCATTTGAATTTTATATCACTAAGCCACCTGTCCCAATAGCCTCACTGTCTGTAATCTCAGTGCAAAAGCCAAGGACTGCACCTGCACTTACAGTGAATTGCTATCTTTGGTCCCAGATCAGGAAAGCACGTTCACAGTGGGCAATGAGAAGCAAAAGGTTATTTTAGATGCTGCACATACAGCACTTGATCCTTCCCTAGGGCTGTCAATCAGACATCTTCCCTAGCAATCAATTCGTATAAAGAACAAAATGTAACCTCATTACAGTTTTCAGCATTGCTCTGTCAGACACAGGATTAAAACCAAGAGTCATCTTCATTCAAAACCCTCTTGTTCCAATTCTGACAACTTTCTGATTATAACTGTTGTTCTTTGAGGAGAAATTTCTCAAAACTGTTCTTAGTCTCAAAAAGGTTTTCTGTGAAGGTTCTGGGTACAATACCAAGTGGTTCCATAAGTTACCTGCAGAGATATGAATGGAGAAAGGGGGCCTAGGGAAAACATTACTGAGTAACTTTCAGGACTATCTTAAGAACCATTCTTTTTGTCTTTGCAGTCACCATCATTATCAACTTTAGGACTGCAGGCTGTTTCCATCCTAAGCATACATGATGCTCCTAGATGTCTGTGATTTTCAGACAGACATATAAACATTACTCATAAATGGGAACAGAATTTGAATCTTAGCAATGTAGAGACCACTACTGACTCCTGACTTAAAAGCAAGTAGATTTTGAGTTGTGCTCAGATGTTCCCTAGCACTTCAGAAAGGGAAACTGCATTTTATTTTGCTGCTATTACTTTCAACATCCATGCTCAATATTTTGAATCTGCATTTCCAATGAACTTATAGTTCTGAATCACTACTTCTTGTCTGTGGGACCAGAATGCTCTATCTTGCTTCTACTTTCTGAGAAAAATGGAGACAGCCTATTGTTGCAGAAGTGACTAATGTGCCAACCTGCAAAAGAGACTTTTATACAACAATTACAACCTTACAAACACTGTACATACTTCATTTACTCATGGTTCTGCCCCAGTGGGGAAAGGTAGGGGTATTTGTATTTACAGTAATTCACTCTTATCTACAGAAAATGCAGAACTAGCAAACAAGAATAATTTGTATATTTAGTCCTAGCTGACAAGGCTTTTAAATAATAAACAATGCCATAGTCAGTTAGAAGAATCATTTACCTTGTGCAAAAGTTTGCATAGCTCCTGCTGCTGAGCATGCAAACTCCGCCACTGGAACCTCAGCCTCCCATTTAACCACTGAAGGTATCGAACATCTACTCTGTCTTCTAGCCCATATTCAGGTGCTATTGCAGTTGTACCTTTCTGGCTGTTAGGCAGATCATCTTCACACTAAAAGCAGAAGAGAATACCAAAATGTTTTAAGTTAGCTTCAACACTTTCAAATCATTCAGGAATGAAGAACATATAAGGCAAATAGGGCAAAGAGGAGGAAAAAAATCCCCAAAAAACAAAGTTCCAGCAGTAGAGAGAAATGGTAACCTTTTAGAACACAGGACTGAGAACAGCCGAAACAAGTACTGAAGACTGGAATAAATATCAGCTTCTCAGCTATGATGTGGTGAGCTGTCTCTTCCCCTGTCTCTCATTTTCCATACCCAGAAATACACAGTGTTCCTGAGACAGCAAGCATGTTCTTTACCCAGGGGGGGGGGGGAAGGGGGGGTGATTAAAAAAAATAAAATAAAATCACATTTTGTCTCGATTTGAGTAAGTCAAAGAACATAAAAACCAGACTTAGCTCCTCCAGTGTCTTCCCAAAAGTGCTGCAGGCTGTATTCAGTGACCCATTTTGTAAATCAATGCCTTATATAGGGACAAAATTGTGGGCCTGTGCTTAGCCAGCTGTTTTCTTTTCTCCATCCAACATTTCCCTTCTTGCAGGATAGAGTAAAAGAAACAATCATCCAGCTGATACTGGCCAGGAGTCTACAGAGGTACTCCCAGCTACAGTTGCACCACCTGTCTTGCCTTGTTTTGCCTTTCTCTAGAGTAATTTGGAAAGAAGGGAGAAGCAAAGAGTTTCTTTTTGTTCACCTTGTCCCACTTTCCTTCTGCTGCAGAAAAGAAAAAAAACCACACACCACCACCTTCATCTTCTGGATTAAATGTCTCCTTGGCTAATGGCATAAGGCAAGCAAGACATTTCTGTTGTATTTCTTTCCCAAGGAAATTCCACCTCCCCCAGCCTCTTACACAAAGGGATCATTCACGTTTACGAACAGATCTCTCTCTCCATTTTCAGCTAAGACTCCTGCAGATTGCAAATTGAAAAGGGAGGAAGGCATAGGTTGTATTACTTCTGATGCCAGTAATACCACTTAAAGTAAGGCTGAGCTGTCAACTTCATCCAGTCTATAGAAAGCACATACAATAAACACAATCCATAATTCCAAATTTTTTACTACAGCATATCAAAAGAAATAGGAGTAACACAGAACTGTGAAGGCCTGGTTATTCTGAATGGGTGTTTGCCAGCTAAGAACGTGTTTCCCAGTTGTTGGATTCTCAAGACATTTCTTTAAGGTGGAAATTTACAAAGCCTACTTGAAACATGACTGTTTGCAAGAAAATACTTAAGCAGATATTTGGACCCACATACCTTGATGGTATTTAAACATATGTGCTTCTCTGCTACACAGACTTCCACGTTCAATAAAATCTTATAAAGATTCATTTGGCAGACACAGCTTGAATGTAATTCCAATTTGGATCCGAAACTAAAAATGCAAACTGTAAAATGAGGAGAGTTTAATCTTGCCTTAAATGCAGATTTCAGCAGAAGTATATGTATAGCCATGACCAAATAACTCCCTAATGCTTGTTTTAACCTAAATATCACCTCAGTTGACAGGGCCTCTAATACAATGAGTGTTCATATTACTTACAAGCAGAAAAATCCTGTTCTGGTCACATAACAAAACATATCAAGATTACAGGGTTTTTTTTTCCCTTTGCTCTGTGGCTCAGATAAATGCATGCTATAAATCACAGGGGTGTGGGGATGGTAAAGGGCTTTCCCTTTTAAAGGCACATATTCATCCTTATTTAAAAAAAAAAAAAAAAAAAAAAAGGAGAGACAGTATCTCCTTTGTGCCAACTGCAACGTCACTCTTTTCCTCGGATGCCATCAGCCCCTTGCCCCTAAAGCAAAAGGCACTGTGTTCCAGGGCACTGCAGTCCGAGCCAAGTACCTTCAAGGTTCAGACTGTCTTGCCCGCATCTGGAGAGGCTTCTGGACTATGAAACCATACAGATATGATTACCAAGTTGTCCACAAACACAATGAGCCAAGCAATTGTGTATTAGTCACAACAGCAGAGAAAATGCATGTGTAAACAACATTAAAACACTTCACATATCAGCCAGAAAGCCACAAGGCTAAAGACAGACTTGGGATTCCCAGATTAAAATCTGCATTTTCCATAATTTACAGTTCAACTCCAACTTCTCTGGTTAGAGGTTTCAGAACAGCACAAATACTGCTCTCCTGGGGATTCATTTCAGGAAAGAATCGCATTAGACTCGATTGCTTTGGCAGTACAGTGACAAACACCATGCAGAGCTAATTTTATTGTAGCAAACTGCCTTATTAATATTAAAATAAGGAAGCCAGCCAATGCATTTTTTAACAGGACCACTCTATTATTTATTTCACAAACTGCACAAAAAAATTACTTTTCCTATGAAATACTTAGCCTGGCATAAAGTAAACAAGATAAAAAAAATCTTGCACATTATACTGTGACCTCAATTTCTAGTCCAATCTTTACAATCTAAGGCTATTTACTGCTCTCCCAGTGGGAGAAAAATCACTAAAATACCAGCCCAAGCTAGAGCCTTTGCTTCAAATATCACTGTGAATTTATCTAATCTATGCAGCAATACGGGTACACACCTACATTCACTTCTAAGATACAGAAGTGCATATTATTTAGTCAAAGCCATAAAGAGAGCAGCCAAGGCAACCACCCAGGGCCCTCAATGGCCTCCCCGGACTTACAATGCTCCACACCAGCTCTGGAAGAGCTCCTTTCATAGCCACTTGCCAGAAAAGCTTTTTGCTTGTAAACTGTTTGCTGCAGTTAATGTTTCTCTTTGATTCTGTTTCAGGGAAGGGAGGCGCACGGACTCCAGCTACAGAATGGTGCCACAGGCTTGCAGTACAAAAGCCACATCAGCACGTATCAATACCCTCGTTGTAGCATCAGAGTCTTTTCCCATTACATTGGTGTTACCAGAGCTAGTCTTGTCAAACTGGATGATGTGGACTCGCCAGAGCACCTGTGTTTAGCGTAACTTAATCAGAAGCTAGAACAAAGCCCCTCAAATCCCCTCCTACTGTAACTCACCCCAAACGAGCTTTTCTGTCCTAAAAGCTCAAGGTACTGCTGTTAGAAGATTTCAATATCCATTTATTGGCAAGACTCAGAAAAGCCGCACAAGCCTGATGAAGGTGACATGCATATATTTTCAGGAACCCTCTTCGAGCCAACTCCTGAACTACCACCCTCCCCAGACTTAGGCAGAACTTAAACCCAGGTCTCCTGTAGTAAAAGATCCAGGCAAATAACCAGCTAAGCCTCAGAATAAATACACGTTCCAGGACACCATGCCAACGACAGTAGCTCACAAACTACAAAACCTAATCTGCACTCATAAATACATCTCTGGCTTAGTCAGAGCTAAACACAGCTTATGTCCTAAGACCATACATTTAAAATTTTTTGCAAGGCAACCTAGAATTCAGTCTCCACCACCACAGAAGTTTTGCCCTCAACATTCCTCCCAGGCTATTTCAAGTCCAACTGTTATGAAAAAAAATGCCAGATGTGTGCATGCACTTACGGTTAGACAATGCAGCAAGTGCAAAACCCGCCAACACAGTCCTCATGGCACAAGTGCTCTGAGCAGACAAGACAGATTTACGAAGCACACTGAATTAAAAAAGTTACCAGATATAAAAGTACTTGGAGGAAAAGAATAAGGGGTGGGAGAAAGGAAGGTGTAAAAAAGAGACATGGGGCTATATCAATTTTCATGCAAATTCCATACATCTGAGCAAATAACTTGTATGCAACTTGCTTAGAGAGAAATTAAAGATTAAGACATTTCAACTTTTATAGCAGAAATAAAGCTTTTCTTGTTGGTTTGAAATACAAAGCAATTCCATGGTGTTGAGTATCAGAGAGCAGTTCTACCAACAGTAGATGGAGATAAGCAAGTACTTCATCATCTAAATAGTTTAACAAAGAACAACATAAGCATCAATGGCTTTGTGGACATGTGAGAAGGGGGCATCTTTTGCACTACTTGCTCCATTTGAGAATTTTAGTGACCTGGTATGCAGTTGACCTCGCTTTGTAGCTATAATTTAATCCCAGCTGGCAACTAAGCACTACGCAGCCGCTCACTCATTCCCCCGGTGGGATGGGTGAGAGAATTGGAAGAGTAAAGGTGAGGAAACGCACAGGTTGAGGTACAGTTGAACAGGTAAAGCAAAAACTGCGCACGCAAGCAAAGCAAGGAGTTCATTCACCACTTCCCATCAGCAGGCAGGTGTTCAGCCATCTCCAGGAAAGCAGGGCTCCATCACGCATAACGGTTACTCGGGAAGACAAACGCCATCACTCTGAACGTCCCCCCCTTCCTCCTCCTTCCCCCAGCTTTATATGCTGAGCGTGACGCCATATGGTCTGGAATGTCCCTCTGGTCAGTTGGGGTCAGCTGTCCCAGCTGTGTCCCATCCCAGCTTCCCGTGTACCCCCAGCCTGCTCACAGGTGGGGTGAGAAGCAGAAAAGGCCTTGGCTCTGTGTAAGCACTGCTCAGCAATAGCTAAAACATCCCTGTGGTATCAACACTGTTTCCAGCACAAATCCAAAACATAGCCCCATACTGCTATGAAGGAAATTAACTCTAGCCTAGCCAAAACCAGCATATCTGCTCATACACTTTGAATTAAACAAACTCAAAAAATTGTTTTAAAGCAAAATACCTTGCAGATTCAGTGGCAATCTTACAAAATGCCACAAGCAGTACTGCAAAGAAAACCCTTTGCTGTGCAGCTTCACACTTCTACACTTTCTGTACTTTTCCAATTTATTTAAATATTTTAATGCTTATGAATTCTTACCTTCATAAACTTCCTATGCCCTGTACACACAAAGGCAGTGAAAAGGCCTGTGCTGCCTGCATTGCTGGACAAACAAGGCTCTGCCAGGGCTAGTTCTGCAGGAGATGCTCTTTTCTGACTAGGAGCTGCCACCTGTCGACAAGTGATGGATCCCAGCCGCCGGCTCATCCCCAGCGGGCTGCGGCTTTTCCCCAGACA